TTTTTTTTTTTTGCCATAGTGATATATAAGGTATTATTAACTTGATTATGCTATTGATGCCGTTTATAAATTTGTTGACCTAAATATTTTTTTTTAACAAAACATGTAGTCATAGAAGAACATAACCGATTTGAAATTTTTTTAAATACTTTTGACAATAAATATTATGTTTACAGTTATTTAATTACCTTAGTTTTAAATTTTAAACGATTAAAATATTTTTTTTGCTACATTGTCATTCTCAACGACCAGCGATAGATTTCAAATTTATAATATCCTAACTGAGAGTTATGTAAAATAAATTTGAAATTTTATAAGAATCTTTCTAAATAAATTTTCCTTTTTTTTTTCCTAAAAATAACTAAATTTAATTGTCTACAAGATTTTATTTTCAATTTTGGCTCTTGTATTTCGAGGGAAAATTTCTGGTTCCCTCTTTCTTTCTTTTTTGAAAGATGCGTTTCTCATTTTTTACGCTGCCTCTTTATTTTTGAGTTCTCTATAGCTATGTATATTCATTCACTTTCAATCTCCAAATTAATGATTCCTTTTTTTTTTTTTTTGGTAAAAAATAATTAACGTTTTAACCAAATGATATTACATAATAAAATTTAGCAAGACTAAAAACAAACACCTGTTACAAAAAAAATAAAATAAAAGAACATTGCAAAAAGAAGTTAAAATAACAAGCAAAGAATGTTGCAAAATATAATAGAAGTATCGGACAAGTACGTCGCAAAAACTTAACAATAGCGTATATTTGAGGGCTTTTACCGTATCCTTCGATTTTACGGCAACATTAGAGTCTACAATATACGAGTGAGCGTTGTAAAAAACCTATTACAACATTTTTGTCCGTTGGCAAAAATAATATTTTCTTGTAACGATTTTTTCCTCCCGACTATAGAATTTTTAGCAACTAATATTTTTTTGTCACAAAAAGTAAACCCTATAGTATCACAAACATTTTGTTGCAAAAAATAGAAGTTTGTCGTAATAAGTTTTCCACCAAAAATATTTTGGCGCCTTCATTCCTTCATATTTTTGGCGACATTCTTTATTATTTGTCGTAACTTCTCACATTTCACGACAACTATTTATGTTGCCTTATATTTTTTGGTATTTATTTTTTTATCACAATCTTCGCGACAAATTTTAAAAATGTGTCACGTTAAATCACTTATTGCAACAATTTTTTATATGTCGAGAAATCATAATTTTGTTTTGGTGAAATTAGAATTCATCCATAACAATCCTCTTTGTTGTATGATAAGTAAATTTGAAATGAATTAAAATAATACGTTATTACCCAAAGCGAAAAATAAAATTAGAGAACTCACTATTTCTAGTATCAAATCAATTATAACCGTTTGAAGCATGAGAAACTCTCAGCTTAGCATAGTTCAATTAAAATGATCATGTCGAAGTGAACTGAGGCTCTGTTTGATGCCAATCCATTTCAAGGGGAAAAGAAAAATGTTTTCCATTTAACCACTTTTCACCTGTTTGATTGTCAGAATTTTACTTGGAATTCATTTTGCCCGCCGCCAGTTCACGCGCCGATTTTTCACCAAATGAATAAAATTGTTTTCCCTTTGGTTGTTTGGATTTTTATTTTCCAACTTTGATGGGTTTTTTTTATCTATTTTTTTTATTTTTAAAAAAAAAATTTGGCAATTGAAAAATATTCTAAACACAATGGTAAAAAAAAATTATTACTTTTATTGACAATTTTCATGTAAAACAAATCCAAACGAATAATATTCGGTATGGTAAAAAAAATTGATTTTTTTTAGCAATTAGAACAAATTTTAGACCCAATGGTAGAAACAATTATCACTTTAGTGAACAATTTCATAAAAAAACGAAGTCCAACGAACACCAAACTTTCAACATTTTTCAGGTGGAAAATTATACCAATCAAATACAATTAATTACAATTCTCAGTAAAACAATTTCTAGACAATTCAATTTCCTGTAAAATATTTTTTTTCCACCCATTTTCTACATTTGCAATGAAACGGACCATACTTGATCGTTATGGACACAACAATCGTACTAGGCAAGACTTGGAAGTTGGAAGACTATATGCAAGAATTGAGCTTGGTTAGTAGTGTCGGCCCATTCTCACTCACCCTCTTGTTAAACCATGAATTCTTCGGACTGAGCCGAATGATCTAGTGTACAGAGAACATGGAAAAAATAGCTCATTACCACGAAAATTCTTTTCTTTGTATAATTATTTATATCACCATAAAGAATATGTTTATATTCTAGGGATTTATCTCTTTCTATTTCTCCGTGTCAATTCTATCACAATTTTAAGAAAGTTCCATCAATCAGTCAAGTTTTTCAAAAATAAAAT